ATAATTAAAGTTATATTTCAAATATAATGTATTACAAAAAAATTATAAGATAAGAGAGAGAAAAGGGAAGAAGGGAACTGGTCTGTTTGGATAAATCCAGACAGACTTCAGTTAAATGACTCCTTAAAAGGAGGTTCAGGGGTTTAATTATAATATAATTGTTGAAAGCTGGATCCAAGGCTCCCCTTCAATCTTCAAGGTAACTGATTGAAGAGTGATATGGAGGTCACTAACCTGGAGTTGATGTAGGTCACTAACCTGTAGTTGTTCTGTAGGTACACTAACCTATGAGTTGATATAGGTCACTAACCTGTAGTTGTTCTGAAGGTGACTAACCTAATGGTTTATTGGAAGTTCACTAACCTGAGGAAGAGTTCTACTTGGGGGAAGTAGAGGATCCAAAGAAAAGGGGATGAAGAATGAAATTACTTTATCTTCTAGTCAGGAACTTCCTTAAAGAAATGAAGTGAATCACTAGTCTTATATATTATAAGACTCTTGATTATATACTTCAATTGAACTTTAAAGGGTTCTTTAAAAGAGTTGTGTAATAAAATGCTTGAGGGAAAATCCTTGAAGGCTGAGAGAGGAGGGGTTTATATATCCTCCTCTCCAAACCTAATTGTAGTGATATTTGATTGTATCATCACTGTGGTTTAGGGTTTAATAATTACATATACGTGTTATGTATTTTATGCAGTATAAGCATTTTAACTCTTGACACCGAGTTATGAGGTGTAATTGGTATTTTATTACATGTTACATATGTTTTTAAGTGTATATACATATGTAATTGATGTTTGTATATGTTTTATTATATGTTACATGTGTTTTATAAGCTGTATGTACATGTAATAAGGTTTATAAGTAAAAGTCCAATATTATAAGTTAGTTTTGGGTACATGTATATGTACCCAGGGCTGACAAACAAGTAGAGTAGCAATTGATGAGGCATCAAAGCCACTGCCTGATGGCGTGTCTTTTGATCCCTTGTCCGTTTTCTTGATCAAGTCGTATTTCATGTGAGCAGGTGGATTCTTAAAATCAACCTTGTCATTATTCTAAAATAGAAGGATATCAGCTTGGGTGACCTGAAGTCAGCTACAAGGCAAATAACTGACTCGATATTTGGCCCACTCCTCAGCTTTTTCCATGGTCAGAGCGAAATATTGAGTCAAGTCTTTAGGATCTATGATGGGGGCATAGTCGTCATTGTAATTCACATCTAGCCTATGTTTTTGCACAAGCTCAGCTGCCCAAGCATTGTCCGAAGACTTAGCCTTCTCAGAGGTTATGGTTGACTCTGAATCATTATCATCCTCTTTGGACTAATCATTCAAAGAATGTCAGCAACATTTAAAGGTGTGTAGTCGAAGAAGATGTGATATTGCTCGACCTACGTGTTCAGACTCATAATCATCGGTGCCAGTGCCAGAAGTGTGCTCATCCTTTCTTTTGGAAGTTTGTCTTTTTTGCTTGTGCTCAGCTATTCTTTTCTCCGCCAAGGCAGTGATGACTTCAGCTCGGGCAGCCTGGAGAGTGGGTACATTTGAGCTATTGATTTAATATGGGAAGAAAGAAAAAACACACTCATCTTTGCTGTTCCTTGACTTTGTTCGGATGAAGTACTACATAACACACTCCAGCTTCTTTTTTGGGATAGTGGCCATGTGCTTCTTCAACCCAAGTCTGAACGTTGTCGGCAGTTAACAATTTGTGAGTAGTGTTTGATCCTTTGGGAAAGTTTGAAGTCTTGGTAATGAAGGCTGTCCACTTTCCGGAGTCCTTGAAAATCGACTTCTTGATCAATGTAGTCATAGTTTTTCCAGTTGCATCATTGATGGTTGCTCCAGCACATGCAGCCTTCAGTTCATCCAAGTCAAACCAAGTTGAGCTCCAGTGAACCTTGCAGTGTGTGCCCCTATAAAGCGCAAAACCCGACTTTTCCTCCTTGTCCGGTACAAAAAATTCACAGTCAAAGTAGAGAAGAAACTCTTCATCTTCCTCTTCATTTTCCTTAGGTTTGTGTGGTCCACTTTCAGCTGCTGTTGTTGAGGTCTTTGGGATCAGAGTGAGATCAAAAACGGAACAGACATACTGCATTAACAAATGATGTTGAAGCAAAAGCATAAAGAAACCCAAACATACCTGAGGTACATCCACAGTCAGATCCATAAAGAGAGGGTTGATGTGGGGGTGCAGACCCATTACAATAAAATATCAATAGATGAATGGAATGGGAACCACCAGATTGAAACTAATCATACAGCAGGGTGTGATTCTGAGACCCTGAATTTTTTTTGGCTGCACCGGAATTTGATCTTGGTATGCTGTGCAGCAGCTTCGCAGCAGACTGCGGCCAAATTTGGCATCTTCTCTCTTCTCATCTGTGGTTGACTGAGCAACCTTTTTAGCAAAGGTAGTATGCAGTTGCGCGGGTTTGACTGTAGAGGTGACACCACGGGAATTATTATGTCCGAGACCCGATTGAGCGAAGTTGTGGTGTCCGAGTCCGCAATAAGTCTCAATTTTTGGATTGAAACCTATTAAAGGCAAGGGGGGGACCTTGGATTTTACTAGGTTTCAATCCAAATTTGAGACTTATTGTGAACTCTGTCACCACATTAAGTTTCACATATGATTGAACCTAATAGATCCCGTGGTGTGACATGGGCACTACAAAAAATTTGTTGCATGCAGCATTGGCAAGTGATTTTTTGACCCTTCAAGTTTTTGGATCTGAACTTCAAATTTGAAGGTCAGGCTCAAAGATTTCAAAAGTTGAACAACCAAATCCTCAAATTTGAAAAGTCCACAACCAATTCTTTGCCCACCCCCTACACCATGATGAAACAAGAGTTAAAAAAAACAAACACAACTTGTTCAGATTGCAAACTATTAATTTCAACTAAAACATCATAAGACAATGGACAAGCATACCACTGAAGGCCAAAAATGATCATTTCACCTCAAAATGTGTTTCTTCACAGGAAAAAAAAACACCACACTAAAGTGAACATCTCATTTATTGCGTTATCAATCCGTCATAATCAGGTAGTTAAACGAGCAGTCATCATTACAAAAAAGGTGTTTATCAAAGCGAAAAAAAATAATTGGTTTTGCTCGTACAAATGACATCCATAAACAAATCAATTCACCGAAATAAGTTTTTTAACTTGCATGTGTAAAAAATAGCCAGAGTAAGCTCCATCCTGTTACTCTCTTTCGAGGGTGACCACATAACTATGAATCATGACAAAGTGATTCAATTGACTGAACAACTAATAAATGCCAAAAAAACATTTATATCTTGGCTTTTTCAGTCAATTGATTTGTCCGGAGACTTTCTCCTTGTGTAGAATGAAAAAGATATCTGGAAGATATCTGAAAGTAAAACACAAAAAGTGGTCCTTGGCATCATTGATTACTTTGAGGGGTCTTGTGTGACGTGTGGTTTACTAGGCATTAAGCCGTTCAACTTCACTCCCCTAGCAAGTAGCAAAACTTATTCGGTGATTTGAATACTTGGTCACGACTGAAATGCAAGATAAAGAAGAAATAGAAGGAAATAGAAAAAGAAAAAGGCCACTTGCAATCACGACTGATATGCGTGATGAAGAGAAAAGGATAGAGAAAAGAATCGAGAGCAGAAAAGAATTCATGACTGAAAGAAAGAGGTCCCTACCATTGGCTTTCGCCTCCAAAGACGTCATAGTTGATTTGAAGCAACTGTTCATACACGAGCAAAAGAGCGAGAAGGTCAGTTTTCCGGTCTTTGCGATCTTCAAACTGCGAGAGGATAAAGGTTCAGTGGCCGTTTTATCTTCCTGTCGTCGCTGTATCATATTTTGACAGGATAAGAGCAAGACATTTCAAAATAATTTAATCACACAAACAGAGCAAGTTAATCACACCACAAAGTCAAACGAGTCACATCAAACTCTATAATAACACACGTATAAAAATCGCAAGAGCGCATCAAGTAGTTAATCACCCAAAGGCTTTCGCACAAGACACACCAATGAAACGTTCACAAATATGACGTTCTAGAAGAAATCAATGAAACGCTCGAGATATCATGAGCTTTCACTGCAAGTTTTTAACGTTTTCAACAGTTTGAAAAGATTGACTCCTCCCATCAAATGACACAGCGACAAGCGTACAGAGAATGGATTATCGGAATTTTTCATCACGAATTCGAGTGAAAAGGGCCCAAGAACTGGAAGCTTACCTAGAGGACCAGATGCATACTCTACATCGATAATCATCAGGATACCTGAGACAAGCTGGAAGAAACAAAAAAACAAATCGTTAGTATAACTTGTTGCTATGAAGATCGTGATATGGTATCAGATAAAGTGTCTCAGAATGAGGTAAGCTTTGGTAAGTGAGTATCCACATATCCTGGCAAGGATCAGAAGCAGAACTGTATTGTTTATAGTTGATCATCATAGACGAAAGAAAGAGAAGTAAAGAAAAAGATAGACCTCAGAAAGCTTACCTCAGGTATCCGAAGTACGTCGAGGAGTAAGAGTGTTGTGTTCTAAAACCGTTAAAAAGATCAAATTCTTTGTCAGTTTCGATTGTTGATGAGTTTTGCTTGAAGGGATTTGAGGTCGAAGTGATCAGTTGGTGATGCATGTTCAAATGGTTTTGCTCAAGCCCTTGGAGGGGTATTCGCACGTCGGACGTAGTTGGCGCCCGTTGTGTAGTTTTTAATCGTCTTTTCAGGAGACCAGAGAGAGGAAGTAAATGAGAGAATACGGACCGAGAATCATCTTGAACACGAAGATGAGTGGATGTGTATGATGTTGGGCGGACTGGACGATTTGTTGACAGCTTTATTGAGCCCCGAAAATATCGGCTGACTTGTGGGTTCGAAGTGGCGTTCACGTGACTTGATCAGTCGTTCCGCAGCATACCACACAAATTCAATCAGACTTGTCGAAAGAGAATCAAGAGCTTGAACTCAAGCCTGATTACTTTACAGTCAACTTCAAATCAAACACAAACATGCCACCCATCAATCCCAAAAAGAAAACCATGAACGAACAATCTCTCAAGACTCAACCAGTTTCATCAAAACCCAAGACACATATCCATTTTCATAGCGATGAAGAAGACGACATGGTGATGAGCAATTTACTTGAAAGTGAAGACCTAGAAACCAAAGGATCAGAAGAAGCCACAAACTCAGATCGAACTTCAAACCAAGACTCAAATGAAAGTGAAGAAGATGATGAAGGTCCAGAAGTGATTAGTACAGCAGTTAGTAAACGTGATGTGATAGCCAAAGAGAATGTTAGAAAAGAATTTCAAAAATCGTAAGAAAGCTTCTTTTTTCCAAACCTATCTCTCAGTGATCCTGAATTCACTAATTTAAATATTTTGTGAATTTCTTGATTGTTTAAGAATTCAAATCGCTAAGAAGAAAGCCAACAAAGCCCGTGATGAAAAACTAAAACAATTAAAATCACAATCTAAATCGAAATCCAAACCAAACCCAATCGAACCCGAACCATCTTCATCATCTTCCTCAGCATCATCATCAGATGAAGATAGTGAACCAGAACCTACCTCATCATCATCAACAAGAACTACTCGAACACTTCAATCGAATAAGAAATACCTAGACCCTTCTCTCTTTGTAACCGCATCCAACATTCTTGAAGAATCTAAAAGATCAGCTGAAGAAAGAGAACAGAACAACCTAACATCTATTATGAAAAAACGAAAAAGAAGGAACATATCAGACCAAGAAGATCGAAGAGAAATCGGGTAAGGTCTCTAGATCTATTAGGTTTCAGCTATTACTATTGATCAACTGATCTATTTTTTCAATCTCTTGGTGGGATGACTTGACAGGAACAATACAACAGTCGTAAGGTTAACCAAATCAACTCATCTAACCCCTACAGCTCGACCAGCACGAGTTTCAAAGTTTGTGAAGAATAGACTTTCATACATCAAGAATCGTGGATCACCACATCAAGTTCCTAAATTAACTTTAACAGCTAAATCTCAAATGGGTACTCGTCATCGGTCTAGATTTGATCTAGGTACACGAACTTCAAATCGTCCAGCTATCTTGTTTGTTCGTGAACCTAAATAACCTCAAAACCAATCTTTTGTAATATTTTCTTAATGGTTTTTTCTGGAAAGTTTGAGGATTCGATTTCAGAATGTTTGATCATTTTGAGATCTTCAACTTTTAGAGGAAGTGGAACACACCTTTAATAGCATCGTACTTTTATGATGGTCAGCCACATAACTTTTGCCCCCATGGACTTTAGATCAACACTTTTCTTGCCCCGTGATAATAAAGCTATAAATTTGTATATAAAAGTCATTTAGATGGTCAAGTTGAAAGACTTATATATAGATCCAGGTGAAGAGTAGCTATGAGCCTGCCAGCACTGAGAAATCCCCCCACAGACCAAGTAGAAAGCTCTTGATCTAATTCTACAATACCTTGATGATGAGAATGGGAAAACTTGATGATGCTTAAGGAGAGAAAAATCTCTCATTTGAGGTATAATAGCAGGTGCAGCAACGAGCATGAGTGCGCCCCGCATATTCAAAGTTAAAGTCCACCTTTTTCCCCATCCTCTTCACCTCTTCATTTTTCCGATCTTTGATTTCCATCTCTTGTCTGAGTCTTTACTAAAAAATAACTTGATAACTCATTGGTATCATTTTATTTCCAAATGATCCAATTCTTTCAAAAGTAGATCCCAAAACATCTACTCTAAGACCAACTTTAAATGGCAAGAAAATAATTCATTCAATAAAATTTCATATATTTTTTTCTTGTTTTTTTTTGGTTGAAAACACTCATCATCATTACATACAATCTCTACTACTTATTCAAGAAAATAAAAAGCAAGAGAGAAAGAGATAAAGGAAAAGAGATACAAAAACAAAAGAACAAAAGAACTTCACTGAAGTACTTCCAAAACAAAAAAGATTCATGAATTTTAGGAAACCAAAATGAGAGGTATTTTAAAAGGAAGGAATGACTTGGATAATTTTATACAGATCACTATATAGTACTACTAAGAGATTTTTTAAGAATAAAGTTAAAAACTTTATAGAAAAAGTATAGGAAAAAGAACTGTCACAAGATAAATGATAAAAGAAACCCGAGTTTATTTAAACTTCAAGTAAGACACCACTTTTGATATATAAGAAAGAAAAACTAAAAAAAAGTCTACTACAATCAAACCAATTCCCCGTTCAAAACGAAAAACTGATGTGAAAGTTTATCTAAGAGGTCTAGGTCTAGAAGCCGGTTTAAGTACCAACCGAGGTTTTCGATAAGTCGGTTTATTAAAGTTCGTTAAGAGTGGTGTAGACCGTTTAGCCAAACGACGTTGACGAAGTGGAGATTGTTCTAAATGTAATGAAACTCTTTGTCTTTCAAAAAAAAACCCACCTCAAGTCAGTTTTTGTACAATCAAGCTTTATAGAGTTAAGAGGAAGAGAGAGACAAACAATTTGATGACCAAACCATGAGTAGTACCGTTTGTGGTGATTTCATTCGGGTTGTAATGATCATCTACCCAATTACTGATTTTTAAACGAATGTCTTGAGTTAATGGTGTATATGTTCTTGGTGGTACAGGTGGAGGAGTCTTGTTGAGATGACAGTTTACGTCTAGTTCTACCATCGTTTGAGCAGAGAAAGGTTGGGTTTGAGATTGAGATACCATGGCCATCGTTTATATGTTGTGTATGGGGTTAACTGGTTTTTTTGGGGGCTGGTTCGTGTTGATGAATGAAGGCTTTGGAAGAGAACAGGTAAGAGCGAGAATGAGGATCAGGTTGATGGATGGATGAGTAAGACTTACATATAGCAATGATCAATAAGCCAAGATGAGATGATTGGTTGATTGATTGGTTGCTGTGGTTGATCTTGTTGTGAAGTTATGAAATTGAAATTGATCAAATGTAAATCAAATCTTTATAAAACACCAAGACTCGGTTATTTCAAAAACAAAGGATCAAAGTCAAAGTGATGATGTTCTTGTAAAATGAGAGTGATGAAGATCAACCAAGATTAAATTAAAACCAAAACAAAGGAAAGGGGTAATCTGATCAAAGTCAATCAAAAAAAAAGGAACAAAACGAAAAAAAAACACAACCAATCTTTTTAAATCACTACCAAGTCAACTTGCATAATCAAATCAAATCAAATCAAAAACGAAAAGTATTTCATGCAAAGTTGAATCACAATCAAAGTGAATCTGAATCTGAACCGAAATCTTTTAGACTGAGAATCAAACTTTGAATCGATACACCAGTCGCCACCAATGCACCAACCCCAAAAAATAATCAAGTTTTACAACAACAAAAGACAAAAATCCCCGTTTTTGTTTCACACAATTATGTATCGAAAGAGATAAACTTTCACACAGAGTGATGTGTAGAGCTAATTTCACCTTTTCAAAAGGAGTGAATAAAAAACGATTGAAATGGTTAAAGCGAAAATGACGTATTTCACTTCGAGTGAGAAGAGTCAAGAGAATCGAGAATCGAGAATCGAGATACTTATGTAAAGATGCTTGAATCTTGATTTGGGTTTATGCAAGTTAATAAAGTGTAAAAAAAAATTATCCCCTAAATGAAAAATCTTCCCGAGGCGCGGGATGAGAAAGACCAAAACCAAAAAGTTGAAAACGTTGAAAAAGTGTGTTGATTTTTGATAAAGTAGAAAATGAACGCCTTTTGGGTGTTTTGATTAATGAGTTTTAAAGAACTTGCTCAGTGGTATGTACATAACAAAGTTTGTTTAAACTTTAGAGTGATTTACATTCGCTTTCGCTTAAATTTAGTGTGTATGTAGTGCGCTAAAACCTCCAATTGTCCATCATGATCATCATGATGACTTAAAAAATGATCAGTAGTTTACTAGTTCAACCTTTTTTAGGCAAAGTTAATTGAGATTTGTCGATATGGGGACCGTAGTGTGAGGGAAAGAGAGAGAGAGAGGTAGGAAATCGTGATTTTAGGTCAAAGACAGTGATGTAATTGTATCAAAGAAGGTGACAAAGAAGACTAACAAATACAAATGGTTTCATTTCTTTAAATGAACTCGTCTTCTTCACCTCAGGTATCAGGATCTCCTTGAAAATTAAATTTATCCCTTCATTTGATGAATGATGATGATGCTTGATCACTAAGGAGAATCTCGTCCATCCCCTCTTGCATACCTTTGATTGATATTGCATATCATACGTTTAGTCCTTGGCTATCTTTGTACACTCAATTGCTCAAAACTTGAACTATACATGAAGCTTTTGATCACTAAGTTTGTTTTTGTCGTGTGTAAAAATATGAGTGATCAATTCAGCATGGTTGATCATCTGAATCAATTGGTTTGTGATCAAAGTACTTTTGAAAAATTAGTCTGCTTGTATAGTATAAACTCATTGAAGTTGAATAAACAATAAATAAACCAATTTTGGTTCACAGACATATTAAGAAACTTATTTTCTCTACAAAGTTCATTTGGTTCATTAAAGTGTTTCTTTGTACATTGCAGCCTCAGGCAAAAAAACCCATCAAAATGATTTCTTGGAAAAAAATATACTTACCAGAAAAGAGATCAAAAGGCTTGTGTTGTCTCTTTACATCTCAACATTAAGCAACATAAAACACTTGAAGAGAAATTGTGTTTACAAATCATAAGAGTTGAAGAAATTCATTTGGGATAAGATGATTACCAGGAAAAGATTAGAAAGCTGTATTTGTCAAGGCAAAATCCAAGAGTAAAGGCTCAAAGGACATTAGAAGATAAATGTGATTACATACAGAATATTAAGGAGAAAAAGTATGAGGCATGAGACAAGTTTTCATAAAGACTTTGGATTGGAGATACGTAAGAGAAAGGACCAGTGATGAATCAATTTTTTAATTGGAGTAACAGTGTAGGTCTAGTAATTAGATTCTAAGCCCCATTTTATGCACATATATATATATTAGATAGACATTTTCTTGTGTCTAGATCAGTTCACAAGTTTAATACTCAACTTTCTTACCAAACTTAATGTTATCAAAGAAATCTTAACAAGTATATCATTTAGGATGATTTTATATAATAAACCCTTGGATATTTAATACTTCAAATCTCTGGTTCTTTATTTATTGATTTGTGTGGTGAAATGAAAGAAGACGTTGAGTTTCTTTTTCTTTGATCTCATCATGATCACTTTGATCTTGTTGATATTTGACTTTGATAAACTTTTGAAGTTATTTATCTTTTGATATACCTTTTTCATCCTAATTAAGCTGTGTAGCTATTATTCTTTACCACTTCAAATTTTCCTACTATCAGAGTCCTTCTTGGATGAAGACTGGTTTCCATAAGGGAAGATATGTTAGGTACAGGTACTTTGAGATATTTAGGGAACAAGCATTCTGTTTTCTCATTGGGCAATGGGACACAAGCTATTTGGAATTTCCATGGGTCATTATTTTGGATTTGAGTGTAATAAGGGTACACAAACCTACAACCCGTCAAGAAAACCCATGCAAAAAACCCGTGACAACCCATCAGAATTATGGATTTTTTTGACGGGTTTTTTAGATGGGTGGAGATTTTGCCTTTTTTTTCCACCCATGCAAAAAAAGACTGATGTGAAAAAAAAATAGTTGGGTTATGGACTCAACTACCCCTTCAGATTCCTCACCAACGCCAAACGTCAAAAACCTTCCACACAACCCTCCCACACCCAATCTGTCTCCGCCCAACTTGGTTCAAGCAGTTCAATCTCCCATAATTGCGATCGGCACAAACACGGCGGGATCTCAGCCCATTCTATCGCCAAACCCTTTTGCAGTACCAACTCTTTCGCCAGCGGATTGGTTACGTCTTCAACAGATTGTAACCACATCGAATCCACCACCAGCCAACCAACCTGCTATCTCAAATCCACCCTCAGCCAGCCAACCTGCTATCATGGTCATTTCAGACCCACCTAAAAAGCCACGAGGACGCCCTTGAAAGTCGCCATCAGCAGCTCCTTCTCAAAAGCCTCCCCAAAAATCAAAACATATTCAAATGTCTCAACCATCTCAACCATCTCAACTCGAGTCTGATAGTCAAATTGATACTACACATGAAGACAAGACTCAAAACACTGACAAGAAAGACACGGAGATCTTCAAGTCTAGGAAATGCTGGTTCACCCCGGAAAGTGATGGCAAATCCGACTTGGATCTCGTGGCTGAATGGTGTAGTGATTTTGAGAACTATAACGCGTGGCGCACTCAACAGAAGAGTGTAGTCCGTGAGAGGGTGTCTGCTTTTCTTGTTTCAAAAGGGCACGTAGAAAGAGGAGGTCGAGAGTGTGAAAAAAGGTGGGTTTATTTAATGTAACTGTCTCTTTTCGATTCTAACTTTGCTTGATATGTTATGATATAGATTGGACTTCTCGAAGCGTGGTTCCGAGACGCTAATGCTCTTCGAAATGCAACCGGAGAGGGTAATGAAGATGCACGAGTAATTGAGTTCAACGTGTCGAAGGCCGATATTGCTGCATTCAAATGGAATAAGAAACGGGGAAAGAAAGATGAGGAAGAGAATAAAGCAAGTCTTCAGGGTACGTGGTGTCTTGTAGATCAGTGTAGTGTAGTGATTTGAACTGACCAACACACAGTCAGAATCCTACGCAGATGTCCGTGGTTTGAAGAGCTTGAGCCCGTCCTTGGAGATCGACCATCCGCCAGCCCATTGGCCTTCAGAGACTCGCTAGGCGACTTACACACCTCGACCTCTCTCAAGAAGTCAGTCATTGATTCATCTGACAATCCGAACGGAAGCCCGGGAACTTACACATGGGAAGCGACACCACCTTCCCTTGCGCTGGAAGAAGACGATCTCACCGCTTCACAAGAACAGAAGCCTGACCCACCAAGCCTTTCTCAATCGAAGAAAACGCCTCAAGACCTCACACCATCCAATTCTAGACCTGTCACACCTTCTACTGTATCTAGCAAGCGTTTCCGAAGCAACACTAAAGAGATCCCCTGCTCTTTCAATGGCAAAGAGTCTCCTCAAGATCCAAGCGGCTATTTATCAGCACTCAATCGTCTCCCCACCAAAGAAGAACAAGACGAGAGTGAAAACCGTGCTATGAAATCCCAAGAAAGAATCAGCTCGAACTTTACACAGGAAATGTCAAAGATGATGACCACCAATCGAGTTACAGAGTTGTCTTACAAGGAAAACATCGCGATTTCAAGATTGAATGTCGAGATACGGATTGCTCGAAGCAAGATGATCGTCGATCTCATACGTGATGGCATGAACACGGCTGAAGCGGCATCCCTTGCTTTGACTTCGATCCCCAATGTCCAGCCTACTCTATCAGCTTCGAATCACTTACCAGAGGCCGAGGGATCTCACACAGGGGGTCATGCCCACACCGCCCACAGTGAATAGAATCAGGCCACTCGACCGTTTTTTTGATTTCTTGTTTTGATCTTATTAAATGAAAAAAAAGTCTGCTATATGTCGAATGAACTCTATCTTAAAATAGATTTTAACTTGTGTGTGTTAACCATTTGTTCAACCCGAAAACTTCTTAAGAGTTTCAAAAATTTTCTGTGATCTCTTGCTAAAATACTACTAAATTTGTCTGTGACCACTTGACCAATGCGAATATATGAAATTGATCTGTTTACCTGTCTTACACTGGTCAAGATCACTCGGTCTCTGTTAGGACCTTTTTGGTTCCACTTTTGCAATTGAAAACAAAACATATAACTGCATTTCTTTGAGGTTATTTGTATAAGTAGGAGTCACAAAAACACTCATGAGTTTATAAGATACATATGAAATGAAATTTGAATCAAGTTGGTAAGGGTGAGATTCCACTCTATCGATAGCTGTATAACTTTAGATTCAAGCATAACCTCTGTAAATACAAAAAGCACGGAATAGTGAATCACGGCGTTGTATTCCCACCGAATCTAAATATGCTGTCCTTTGTGCATCAGCTAAAGTGTTGTCATAAGCCTCTTCTGGGTTACCATTCATCATTCCGATTCCTGCCATAGGTGAACCCTCAACAATCAGGTAGTTGTGTATGACTGCACAAGCCGAAATCCAGTCACATACATATGTGGCGTCTTTTGAGTTTCCAATTGATAGTCGCAGCTCGTGAAGAGAGCCGAATTGCATCTGTAACATACCGTTGCAATGTTCAGAAGCAATTCGTATTTTTGAAATCGAACGGTTGAAGTGATTTTGAGCTGGCGAAAGCGGACCTGATTGGGATCTTTTGAATACCAGCACGATATGATTCACGGATGCGTAGCCAGAGTCCGCAAGAATATATTCTCCCTCCGAAAAAAAGGAGGAGATATCCTGATAAAACTAGAGTATGATGCTCAGTTTAAATACAAAGCAGAGAAGAGATAGAACAATTGAAGAAAACTACGTACACGAGTTGACTTCAACACACGTTGGTCGTGCGCACTTCCACACCAACCGTGATGAGCG